TATATTATCACCAGATGGATCCATGCTTTCGGCATAATGGTGTAGTGTTTAGGTTTAATATAACTCTAGGATCCTGGATTCAATTCTGAACTGAAATTCTCAATGGAGCTTACATTTTCTCCCTGTGTTTGCACACATTTTCTCTCAATGCTTGAGTTTCCTCCAGTCTCCCAAAGACATGCTGATAGTTTGAGTGACTATGCTAAGTTATCCATACCATTGAGTAGACAGAGTGGGGCCCCTAACTCATTAATCCTATTTAGAGTACCTCTGCTGCAGTGAACGTAAAGTAAAAAAGGATGCAGAGCCTTGCTTTTTTAATTCTGCAGCACTGTTTTGGCCTGAAACGTTGTAGTCTTGCAGTAAATCCTACACAGAACACCACAGTTGCACCCATGAGCAGGGCCCTTCACTCAGAGTGATCTTTTTAAATGCCCAGAGATGTAAATATGTATGCATTGAAACTGCTTTATATAAAAAGTTAAGCGAGTTACAAAATAAGATTCCCAACTACACATTGTTACCTGTCAAAGAGATCTCATAATTCCCAACCCTAGGCCCAGAAACTGGGTAGCTGTTGCGCTCTGTTGAGGTGTACAGGAAGCAGCTCTAGCTCCACTTTCTCTCCCACATCTCAGGAAAATGGTTGTGAGAACCTTAAAATAGTTACATTTTGTTAAGGTCTAAGTTGGGATATCAACTGTATTGGCAGTAGTCAGACAAGGCCAGCTTGTCTAATTACATGGATAGTTGGATATAACTTTAGCAGAGATCTCTCAAATTTTCGAAACCAAGATATAACTACTGAGCTATGGATTTGTGCTACACAGTGTGTATGTCTTCTAAAATGAACTGAAGTAGTGTTAACGTTTTTTAAAAAACAGAAAAAGTGAAATGAGTAAAAATAAACTCTCCAGAAATTTGGTGAAGATCTATAATAGTGTGGTTTACAATCAAATCCTACCTCTTACAAGGCATTGACATTGAAGATTTATTAGATCTTTAGGAGCAACTTTAAAGTCCTGATTACTAAATCAACAATTATTTCAGAAACATGAAAAACATACTTGTACCATTAAAAGACAGTTTTAAACTTTTGAACTAGGTTAGTATAATTCAGATTTAGTATGTCTAAATGGCATATGTTCCATAAACAAATGGATTATTTTTATGATCTCAGCAGTGTTCTGACTCCCTGCAACTCCAAGCAAATCTTCTAAACTCATTTGGCCTATTTGTAGTATAGAATGTTCCAAGTCTATAAAACCTTGTCTGGAGGTTCAAAGCTCATGGTAACGTATTAATCAAAAATAATATCAGGTCACAAGCAAATATTATTTTGTTATTTTCCACTTCATACAGCTACCTGGTCCTATCTAAAAGGTAGTGTTTGTTCACACTTGCTTTTACAGAGGGTGGTAAAGTTCAAAACTGTGAACTAAACATATAATATATATCTTTTCACATCCTATGAAAAGCCCCAACATCGACTTAAAGAAGTTTTCCAACAGGCCTATGCAATTGACTTTAGCCAACACATTTTGGTTATGGTAGTTGCTGTTGAGCAGAATTTGCAGATCTGGAGAATGAAAAAGAGATACTAATACAAACTCCACTGTAATATCACTATTCTACATTGACTGAGCACAGTAGTCTGAGACAGTGCAGTGAACCCAGGTGCAAGGCAGAGCAAGCAGGCAGACAGCTGTCAGTCATAGGGACAGACTGAAAGAGCAATCCAAGCCGCAGTAGATAACAAAAGTTCATAGCCAGTAGAGACAAGTAAGCACAAAAGGAAATCCAGACATATATCCAAAGGCAGAAGCACAACTCAAAAACCAGAAGAACACTAACAAAGCGTCAAAAACCCAAGCAAGATCCAAAACTGGAAAGAGATGATAAATACAGGGGAAAAAAAGAACAAAATGCTGGGAAGGGCTCTCTAAGACTGAGTAAAGATGAGTGATGAATCTTAAAAATCCTTTGAGAATAAGATAAGTACTGATTAATAGTGGTCAGGTGGGACTGATTTTCTGTCATTTCAGGTTGTTACGGCAATTGATTGATAGGCAGGTGGAAAAAACCTACCAACTAAAAACATACCAGTGAGGTTTGATTGGCCATTCAAGATTGTCAACCTGTGGCTTATTCTTACAAGGAAAGCTGTTGGAGTCCCCATTTCATTTCTTGCCTTGGAGCAGAGTGGTTTGATGCCTGCCTTCCCTACTATCAGTCCTGGTTATGGAACTCACAAAATGTTGTAGGTAGAATAGATTACATATGTCATGATTCTTTGTTAAAAAAAAACTTCTCAAATGTTTCATTTATTGTAAGGTCTGTTACCATGGCATTGCAAAGTCTTGTTGATTGCAATTGTGTATTTTCCGAACTCTACTCAGCAGGTAAAACTAATTGTATCTTCAGACAAAGTAGTTAGGTTTGAGAGATTTATAAGAAAACTGAAATTCGCCTGGCTATGATTAGCCACAGCCACAGGACTTGAGACTAAACACTATAGTGTCCACTCTCTTTAACTGGAATCATAAATATAAGGTATAGTGTATAAAATTACCCACATAGTGTGCAGACATATTTAGTTCATAAAATATAAGTGTTTGCATTGTAAATGTAATACTTAGATTACCCTTCCAGCTGGTACAGTTGCCGGCTATCATTATGTAACTACTGACAGTCCTACCTTATTAATTTTACTTGTGTGACCTGCTTTTTTGACATTAATACAGTAATATTAAACATTGAATAAGTTACATGTAAAAAAAAAATCACTTTTCTTTTTCTTTAGACTAATTTGCTGTGTTTTATTCACAAGCTGAAACTTGTGTTTATATCTCTATATTTGTATTTTCTAACATGTAGATATAACCATTAGATTTGTTCTTGAGATCTGCATTGGCTTTCTTGCGATTTTAGTTCTTAACCTACAGTATTTTGCAGAAGAAGGACGTATTCTTCTGTGAGTTAGATTGTCTATGCAAAGAACATACTTGGCATACAGTGGGGTGGACTCCATTTACCAATTCAGTTTCACAAACAATGTAGTTGTACTAAGTTAGGCATTTCTCTTGGGTAGAATCAACCCCGCCCCACCCCACCCCCCACCCCCCAAGTTGCATTTTGTAATTCATCAGTCACTAAATCTGCATATCCCTGGAATATATTTCTGAGTTACACAATGCACAGCATTATGAAGTGAGAGATTGAACTGACAATCTGTCAGGATAAATAGTTTTTTAAAACTGGGGTACAGTACACATTCAGGGTGAGATCTTTTTCTAAAGAACCCTGCAAATACAATGTAATTTGTAGCTTTACAAAATTTCCTACTAAAGTGTCCTCCAGTACCTGAGTCAATTCAAGTTATATACTGTATGTGGGTCTTTAAAACCAACACAAAACTCTTTATGTTATTATCTGTTGATCACTATCATCTCCCTACATGACATAAGCCTCCAACTAAGCAACAAAAGTTTTTGATAACCTCCGTTTCTTCCAGATGAAATATGTAAAACTATTTTATTTTGTCTTTCTAAGCTATACCCAGAAGGATATATGTTCCTCTGACAGACCACAGAGTGATGTTTCTCCTTTTCTATACAACCCAATACAAAAGAGAACGAGTGGGAGTTATGATACCAACTCCCATAAACTCTGATTGACCATCCTTATAAAACAGCCCCCAGAAATGATCCTCTCTTAATTTTGAGAGAAACATTTGTCAGGTGAAAGACAATAGAAATCAAACATAATCTATTACTACTAGTAGCATGTTGTCTGAAGAAAATATCTGTTTTAAATAGAGATTTACAGTATTAACACATTCTGATATTTTTTCCTAAAGAAAAAAAAATTTAAGAAAGAGGAAACTTCCATAGGAAATGAGAATACAGATTTTCAGTCCTACTAGTCCTTAATTAATTGCACAAGGATCTCACTCAAACCCTACACCTGTATGCTCAAAAAACATGAAAAAGCACTTTTTAAAATGTTTCAAAAATTTACTTAATCCATGTAAATAGCTGTGTATGACTTAATACTACCATCTTTTGTAACCTAAAATGCTTCTTAAAATACTGAAATCTCAGCAGCTGTCTTAGTCTATAATATTCACCACAAGTGCCATTATCTGAAGCTACTGCTCCCCAGTTTCTCAGGAATTTGTGATGTTACCAGAAAAATATACAAGCCATTCTTCTCTGACACCACAGAGGGGGGCTGCAATCTGGAATCAACAAAAGCTAATTCTTTCCAGATTATAAAACACTGCTGCCGGTAACAGTAACGCTTTTACAAAACGTCGGACATCATGTCTGAAAATCTTCATAATCCCCCTGACTCTCCCTCAAATACATGGAGATTTATAAATCTGTGTCCAAAATCATGTTTCCTGTCTTAATCATGCGTTTACCATGTGCTAAACTGCCTTTTATACAATATAATTAGAGCATCTTTCAATAAAACAACAATCTAATAAAGTATGTATTTAATGCTTCATAGGGAGTGATCATAAAAGAGTGCACTTTCCCAGTAGTTACTGGAAACCAATTCCCTCTTACAGAGCATGAAGTTTCTACAGTATACTGTAGGACCATAATTCTGGCGCTCAAAGGTCCGGACATACTTCAGGATTCCCCTTTTGCTTCTCAAATTATCCAGCACCAGCCTGGGGATGTAGATGAAGTTAAAGTAACAAAATCAGTGCATAAATGCTTTAAAAAATGTAAAGCTCTTGTCAGGACAGGTGTATCATTTTATTATATTTTAGGAATTATTGTTTAGCATAAATCGCAAATTCCTGAAATATGGACTCAACATCTGTACAATCCGGTGCCTTTTCTGCTTTCGATGATGATGATGATGATGATGATGATTGTTGTTGTTGTACACAATCGTGCCTTCGATGCGCTCCAGCTCTCCGTCCCTCAAGTGAAAGTGTTTTCCTTTCATTCTCTCCCAGTCTAGTCGGAGCTCCTCCCTGAAACTGGAGTCTGGACGGGCTTGTTACATAAGAAGGGAGATCGGCTTGGAAGGGGGGTGAAAGAGGCTGGGTCTGGGGGTCTGCCTGCAGGTATATGAGAGCAAATTGCACGATCAGAGGGGAATTATGTAATTGCGCCGAAGCAACAGAGCCAGACAGCTCCGATTGAAAGTGATTGACAGCACCCGACTAAACAGTATAAAAGAAGCAGAGACTACATCCCTCGAGCCACTAACCCCGGAGTCTTCACGCGTGTGGACATAGTGGACTTAACAGCTGTACTGTATACCACCTGATTTCAACTGAAAGTGCTTCATAAAAAGATATTTCTTCATTTTTCATACTTACATCCCTCATCACTGGACTATTAAAGACATTTTTAACATTTCCAAGGATTGCACTTTGATCAGGTAACAATCTGATTTTAGAAATTAAGATTTTATTTGGGAGGCTATAATAGGCAACTTTGTATTTATTTCTCAAATTATTTTAGAAAATATGCCTCGGCATCTAAAGGAGTACCCTGTTGAGTTCTCAGCAGCTTAGTAAGCGATCCTGAGTTCCCAAACCTGTAAATTTAGCAGCGAGTAATAAAGTAGGATTTTAGTTCATTGTATATATATATTATGTATATGCTGACCTCATATTCTTGCGGTTTTGCAATTCCGATGAATTACAAAAGAGTAACTGAATTTTTGACTGTTACTATGCCCTGTTATTAAATAACATTCGGTAAAATGTTTTGAGATTGGGCAGACGATGAAAAGTTGTTCTATAAGACACATACTGTGTACAGTATATATATATAAAAGAAGATCGTATTTCTTGATACTTTGTAATTAAAATAAATGTTTTTAATCAAATGTAAGCATTTCTTTCAATTACAATATTTCATAGCTTTCAGAGATGAATTTATAGTTCTTAAATGGAAGTGACTTTTTGCCTATGCTATATATTTAAGAGTGATTCTGATTTATCTTAAACTTATTTCAATAAATGTTAAAAAGTTGTTAAAATACCTCAGCTGTGTGAATTGTAATATAGTGAGCACTGTAATTGTCTGTATTTTTCTGTTTGAAGGAGTAATGATTCTCAGGAGAAGGCTGTTGTGGCTGCCTGTATTATTTATTATTTGTGCTTCATCAAAAGCTCAAGGTAATTAAATGCACATCATTGAAGATATTAATGTTCCATCCTTAGAAATTAAGATAGCTTACAAAAAGTCTGAATTTTCTCCTCATACTCAGTATCTGGACTTGTTTTAGAAATATTTTGAAATAGCACAATATATAACCTTTTGTGTTTTAAGATTATTTAAAAAATACTTTCAACCAACAAAAACTATATTTTTAGCAATTTATTCAGCATGTAAAAGCCTAAAGGGCTCATAAAAGTATTTGAAAGTATGATGGATACATAGGAGCACACTAATATCAGACTTCATCTGGAAAAAAATGTTAAGAATGCTGAGGATGATGAAGGTTATTTAGTTCTCTAATTAAAATCATAGTGACACATTTAAATGTGATTTTTAAAATTTGTTTTTTTTCCAATGGTTAAAAACCCATTAAGCCGAATTCTAACTCTCCCTGTCGATGTTGTGTTCTCCAAGATGATGAGGTGGAAGACAACAGCGTTTTTGACTTGTTTGAGATAAGCAAGATTACCCGAAAGACTCTGGGTGCCAAGCAGTTCCGAGGTCAAGATCCCAACTCCCCTGCGTATCGTTTCATTCGTTTCGATCACTTACCTCACGTCAACCCGGCTGTCCTGCGGCAGATCTTGCAGCAGATGCAGAACAATGAGGGCTTTGTGTTTCTGGCCACCATACGACAGGACAGGGGCTCCCGGGGCACCCTGCTGGCCCTAGAGGGGCCTGGCTCCACACAGCGGCAGTTTGAGATCGTCTCCAACGGCAAGGCAGACACACTGGACCTGGTGTACTGGGTGGACGGCTCGCAGAACGTGGTCTCCTTTGAGGATGTTGAGCTCTCGGACTCGCAGTGGAAGAACATCACGTTGCACGTGCATGGAGAGAACGCCAATCTCTACATCGGCTGTACTCTCTTTGACTCCTTCATTCTGGACGAGCCCTTCTACGAGCACCTGCGTGCTGATGGCAGCAGGATGTATGTCGCCAAAGGAAGCATTCGGGAAAATCACTTCAGGGTAAGGACAGTTACATACTGTAGAATAAGAGATTTTTAAGTGGAAGCCAAGAGGCTCCTCTTTTAACAACCCACGTTTTCATTTTTGGGATTGCTTTTTCTAGAGCTAGTTTGGGTAGCATTGTATTCCTGGCCTGTTTTTAATGTTGATTTTGTAAAACAGCCAGTGTGTGTGTGTGTATCCTACTACTATGCCTTTACAATAAAGAAGAAAAAAAGGCTTTTACAATTAATCAACGATTTAACTAAATCTAATTTGGAAAGTTGTCATAAATGTATTTAAAACATTTATAGCTTTATTTTTAAACCTAAAATATATATCTCTCTCTAAACCTAAGATTTGGGACAGTTGAATTTGAATAATTCTGACTCCAGATAACATTAAAAACATATAGTTCATTAGACATCAACAATGTCTGAGTATAGATACTGACTTTCTCATGTAATATATTGACTATGTTCTTTGGGCTTTAATAACTGCTGCCTCTGTCCTCCAGGGTTTGCTGCAGAACGTGAGGTTTATCTTTGATACCTCAGTGGAGGACATCCTACGTAACAAAGGCTGTGAGATCAGCAAGCCAGGTAAGAAATCTCATGTGTGGACAAACCCTCCAAAATCATTGGCTATAATCACAACAACATGTTGCATTGCCTGAAACACAATGAAGTTGAAGTTGATTGCAATGTGCACAATTATGCAGGATTTCAGAATATACATTATATCATACACAGTAGGTCTTCAACAGTGTCCAGATTTCAAAGTACTGACACATTAATTGAGTTAATTCCTTTCTGAGAATAAAAGGTGGTGCAGATCTGGAAGACATTGTGAAGAAGAGGTTCCATTCCAGCTCTATTCCAGGCACTAGTAATTTTAAAGTTTTTTTTGACAGCTACGAGCAGTTCAGTGAAAAATTAATTCAGTTTCTGCTTGTGCATTCTTCCCTATGGACAATGACCACTCCTGCCATGGGTAATCTTGTCTGTATTTGGACAGAAAAGCTTTATCTTATTAAGGAGAGTACTTAACTCAAAGATGCAACATCCAATGCAGGCTTGTCATAAGAAGACCTTCGAACTAATCAGCCCAACTGACATTGAAAACTGAAAGAGACAAGCAAAGAAATGTCCTAGAAGAGAAATCTATAATTAAATAATAAAATAATAGAAAGTAACTAGTTTGAGGTTGCTACAATTATCTACTGATATGCTAAAGGTTAGCAGTTGGTGTTTCTAAACTAAATGTATTTCTTTGTGGCACTTAGCTCTGTTTTCATGAGTTAAATAATAAATTAATGTAATCTGCACAAGATTAAATATATTGAACAACCTAAGGAAATGGAAGTTTCATTTCTTGCCCTTCAGAACTACACTTGAGAAATTTACGCAGAAAGATTCATCAGAAGTATTGCCAGGTCCAACTGATTAAGAAGCTAGAGATTAAATAACTACAAAAACTACAAGAGATGAAAAAAACACAATCCAATAACCAATATAGTGACAGCACCGTACTCTGTTGTCATGTAATCATTCTTATCGGGCTTTCTAAACATCATGGCTTTTCTCTGAGCACTGTGACTAATAATTAATTCCTAGGAATTTCACATGAAAGATGCATACTGCAGGTGTTTTTTTCTGTGAAATGATCTCAGTGAATATCCTCAATAACACTCCAACTGAAGCTGAACTTTTTCCTAGATTCTTGCTCTATGTAGGTCATGGTAGCTACACAATTGTATTGTATTATGTCATTTATGAGGGGGGTAAAAGTATTGTCATTGTTGGGCTCTAAGTTCAACAATTGTGCACCAAAAAGATATACAGATGCAGATTTATTTCCATTGGCAGTGTTTGTTGCTTTGCCTAAACATGTTGCCATGGTTAAAATCAGGGTCTGCTTTTTAACGTCAGTAGTGAGTTCATGCGTGTAGCTGCCAGCAGAGAACCTCCTTCAGAGAATAACTTTGGCCACAATTTTTCTCACTGGGCGTGGTGGAGCACAATCTCCAGCCATGTTTTGCAAGGAATGCAGACCCTGTGTTGAGTGGGAACAGATGACAGTGTACACAATATTTCCTCTAGGGTCCAGCCACTGGACTTGGTTTCCAGCCAAAGGTCACAGGCTCTGGATTGAGTTTTGAGGATACTGCAGGAGAGCTCTGAATTAAGTGAAACCAAATAACCCCTTTGAAGTAGTGTATAACACAGTCTTGAAGACATCTAGTTTTCTCCAAGAATCTGTGTCTTTTCTCTTTGTAGCAATTAAGTATAAGTAAATAATAACACTCTTAATATAGACTTATTTATAAGAGTAAAGTGTTTCAAATGAAACCTGGCTCTCAGGTCTCCATTCTAATTAGAGGTGGAATCACTCTTCAGAGCTGGTACAGCTACTGTAGTATTTTGTTTCAGTTTGCTTAGAGGGAGTGAACTAACGTCTTGAACGTCCACCCCCTACTGTCTTCAATATTTCGACCAACAACAGATATTTAATGTTCCTGTATCTTGTACAGAATGACAGTGTATTTAAAATGATGTGTAGGTCTGAATCATTTACACATTTGTTTCTGGTAGAAGAAACTGAAAATTTGTCACCAAATTACCTCTCTAAAGAAATCCTGTGTTTTGAAGTTTGTGTAAAAAAATCTCACTGCAAAACAGTAATTTAAATTATAATTACAGACACAGTGTGGCATGGTGGTGCAGTGCCTAGCAGCACTGGGGACCTGGGTTCATTTCTGAGCCTGGAGTGCTATCTGTGTGGAGTTTGTGTGTTCCCCCTGTGTTCATGTGGGTTTTCTCTGGGTGCTGTGATTCTCCCATGGTGCAAAAACATTCTGGTATGTTAATTGGCTCCTGGGAAAATTGCCCCTGCTGTGAGTTTGTGCATGTTTGTGGTGGTGTGTGCCCTGTAATGGACTGGCATCCCATCCAGAACATAGCCTACCTTTCTCCCATTGCTTGCCAAGATAAGCTCCAGCTCCCCCATGACCATGAATCCTGATAAAGCAGATAGAAATGGATGCAGCAACTTCTGTGTTTACCTCTACCAACAGCATAATGGATTTATATCCAATTAAAACAGGTCAGTAAAAAGCAAAACTAACTTAAATAAAAAAAGTTTAATTAGAACCTAACTAGAAAGTCATTATTATATATATATGCATTACACTGTAGCTGACGTGCTGATTTTGTGATTTGCAGTGGACCCACAAATTTTCAATATCTTACTTGTTCAGTTTGGTAATATCCAGATAAATAACATTCTCCAAGTTTCTAGCACTCATAAACAGTCAAGAAAGAGCTCAAATTTACCTGACAGAAATATGATCATGCAATAGAATAACACGCGTAAAAGTTCGACTATATTCCAAAGACAATTCCATCTGCTTTGTAGAAATATTTTGTGGAATGTTTGCTTGGGGTATATTAAGATATCTTTTATCCACTTTTTCACAAGGGTATTTGCAAGGGTATTTTTTTATAAGCCTGAGAATGGCACAGTTGTTTTTCTTTTTCTTTGCACAGACCATACTGTAACCCTTTAAAATCTCTCAGTGAGACTTGGGTGGAAATATTATGCTGTGCGTCACTTCAAACAGTTTCTTTGTTTTTCAGAGGAAGTCAATGCTGTGAGTGAGAGCACAGAGATTGTTGACGTCAGCCCTGCTATCACGACTAACTTCATCGGCCAGAAGACGGACCAGGCAGCAGATTTCTGTGACCGCTCATGCGAGGAGTTCAGCACCATGTTCCAGGAGCTGAAAGGGCTGCGTGTTGTAGTTAGCAACCTGATTGATGGCCTGCAGAAAGTGGTAGGTATGGATGAACCAACAGGCTCTGACATTTAGTCGCTATAGTTACAGTTTTATTGAATATATTCAAACAAGGGTGGCATGGTGGTACAATGGGTGGCATTGCTGCCTTGCAGCACTGTGGCCCTGGGTTAAGTTACAGATCTAGGGTGTTATCTGTGTGGAGTTTGTATGTTTGCCCCATGCATGTCTGTGTCTGTGTGTCTGCCCTGTGATGGACTGGCATCCCATCCAGGGTGCACCCTGTCTTGAGCGGTTGTATATTAATATAATGAGCACCAAAGTGGCATGGCACTCCAGGGTTCATATCTATCACTGTTTGTGTGGATTTTGCATGCTGTACCCTAATCACATGACTTTTCTTCAGGGAAAGAAGTTTGCTCACACCTCCAAAAAGCAAGAGAAGGACAATACACCCTTCATTTATTTATAGATATTCTCATAAACTCAATGCATGTTTGATCGACCAATTCTAAATTGTCCATTTCTCAGTGGCTCTCTGATGAACTGGCTTCTTATTCCTGGTTATAGCAGTTATGTGCCCCCTGTCTTGCCTTACACCCTACACATCCAGGACAGGTTACTGTATGTCTTTCTGTGGCCCTCACCATGGGTGGAAATTAAATTAAATCCGTAATGAACTACAAATGCAGCAATAACAAATTAGCAATAGTAAAAACATCCTGCATCCAAATAATCTCCTTAAAAAACTACATATCTTTACCAGTGACCTGGACATCAAGCAAATGTGTAAGGTTGATTTAATTGTAAACCTTTGATCAAGAGAAATTAAAAAATGTGCTGGAATATGTAAATATAATAAAAACAAAATTATAATGGGAACCGTGTATCCATATTAGGGAGACGTTAGCATGTGTGCAGCTTGGTTTTCCCTCAGTGTTTATTTTACCAGGACATTTCATCTGTGGATCGGAAGTAGTCCATGGCTATGAATATGAATTGCATAATGTCTGGGTCTGTTTAAACGTTTTTGTCTTCCTGTGGGCCCACTGTGTAAGAGGAGTGCTTGAGAATAATCCCTGATTAAACTCTGAATGACTTGGGGTCCCCCAGGCTCATCCAGGCTGAATGGTGACTCTCTCCTCTAGGAGCACCACATCCCAAACAGTCCCATGATTCATGTCTTTCCTGCCATTAATGAGAGTATATCAATTTATACTGATTTTCAATATACCAGTTATATATAATGTACAGATTTGTGCATCCCTGTTTCAGTTCTTGAGACAATAATAACATTACAATTTGTGTTGTTTGAAACAGAAGATGAACTCTGCTTGTGACAATGTCCTCTTATTTTATTAGACTGAAGAAAATGGCATTATGCGGAACATCCTAGACAAAATGGAGAACCCCTCAGAGCAGGACATGTGCTGGCAGGATGGACGCCTCTTTGAGGACAAGGAAGACTGGATTGTGGACAGCTGCACCAAGTGTACCTGCAAGGTGAAGTCCTATACCCATATGCACACATCTGTATGTGATGGGAAATCTGAATAAATATTTTTTTCTATTCATATTCATAGTCTCCTGTACATATTATATTAAATGTATAACTGTGCTATGTTAATGCATTCAAATGAGTCACTCAAAAAACGTGCATTACTTTAATCATAAAGAACAAATGATCCATCCAAGTGTACAGTAATTACTGTATTTAATTCCCAGATGTTACTGTTATTAACATTTTTTCCGAAGGAGGCTTATTGGAAATTTCTTAGGAATTAAAAATGCATATTTATTTTCTAAGCTTTGAAAAAGCACTAATGAGTAACTTTCAAAAAGAGCTCTTTACAAATACAAATGGACTTTTTATAAAAGAAAGTGATAATGTCTGTATTTAACAGGAATCCAAAGTTGTGTGCAACCAGATCACCTGCCCAGCAGTCTCCTGTGCTAGTCCATCGTTCATTGAGGGAGAATGCTGTCCTGTGTGTCTTCGTGAGTAAAGCACTGTGTAAAAAAATACTGTGTATTTTTTAATTGTAAGGTGTTATCTTTTTGTTGTCCCATTTTATCTATGCAAGCAGGAACTCGCACACCCTGAATAATTATTATAAATCTGCATAAAGAAATGTAATTGATAGTTTAAGATCCTTTAACTATCCTTTAACCTCTATGATCCTTTAACAACTATGCATTCCAGTTTGTCAAATGCCAAATAAAGCTCTATCATTTATTATGTTTTAATAACAGAGAGCTGTTAGGATTCTGTTTTTCTTTTAGAGCAAACCACACTTTTTTATGTTTTTTTTTATCCTGGAAGATAAACCACAGGCTGGATGCTCCCAGAGTTTGAAGTGGTTTGTGGGTTAGAAGAGATGATGTCAGAGTTTAAATTTAGTTTCAGCTGAAAGCCTAGTGTTTTGAAAGCCTTAAACCATCACTGTAATTAAGGAGTGCAGTGGGTGAGATTCTGCGGCTGGCTATTTGTCGGTCTTGTTTAATTCCGTGCATGTTGATTGTGATCAGCTAAGGACAGTGAGGATGGCTGGTCACCCTGGTCAGAGTGGACTGAGTGCACAGTGACCTGCGGTACAGGCACCCAGCAGAGAGGCCGTTCATGTGATGCCACCAATAACCCTTGTGTGGGACCTTCCATCCAGACGAGAAGGTGCAGCCTGGGAAAATGTGACAGCCGTTGTAAGTTGAAACCACATGGAAAGTCTGCATCTTCCAAAACAAGCTACTAGCCTCAGAATATGTTAATTGAAAAAAAGGTGTCAATAACTGCATGTGTATTAGATGCAGCAATCAACTTACCTGACTAAACAATGGACAAACTGAAAATAAATACAGCTATGCACTAGTCACTAGAACAGATATAAAGAAGATTTCAAACAAAAGAAGGAATAGCAAAGGCATGTGATCAGCATAAGATAAGCAACAAGACATGTTAGTTTTACATAAGAATTAGTTGTTTTGGAGCACTAATATGCAGGTAATAATGGATAGCTGTCAGACTGGTAGAGTAGCAGGTACTGTATATGTCGGAAGGATGTGAGTTGTGTTACAGTAGATGAAAATCCCCCATGATTGCAATGTGATATTGTGAGATCTTGTTGAACATTTTCAGAAGGAAACGTACTAGCACTATCTTAATCCTTTGCCATGTGTAAAGCAGCTGAACCCACAGGGAAAATAAACATCAGCCCTGACCAGCTGGATAGAGAACAAAAGGGTCTTGTTAAAGTAGCCACAGGGGACAGTTCCACAGTAGCCCTGGCCCTACCTAATGGGTGTTGCTGAGATAGAATAATACCCTGCTCCTAAAAGATCATCTAACGGTGCTTATTGTGTCTTTTCTTATTTGTGCTTCACCATTTTCAGGCATTTGTTATACAGTAACAGAAAATTACCATTTATTCCTTTGTAATGTCTCCTTGGAATGCATACACTGTAATTCCCAGTAGCCTTGCAAAGGGAAATATTATAACCTAATCTGGCTCTCACTGTAATCTCTGAAGATGTTTAAAGCTAATATTAATGTCCTCCTATTCTTAACAAAGGGTCTATTGTATTTCATCTTCACATTGTTAACTTCCATTCAGAATGCCTACTGTATGTATGGGCATTGTGTTAATCTGACCCCTCCTATTAAATTACACACTAGCATCATAAAGTACCTCAGAATAGGATCCCTATCAGTCATCTCCAGCACACTATCTTAGTTCTAAAGTAATGAAAAAAAATTAAATACACTCACTATTTTCTAAACTAATTCTAAGTCATGTATCTATATAAAGTATATATATTCCTTTATTTAGCAAGTAAATCTATTGAGGACAAATTTACTCTAACACCTGACCAAAAGGCTTTTGGAGCAGTGCTCCAGGTTCAATGCACTGATGGAGTTATGTGTTTGGGTCAGTCCGTCAGGATGGTGGCTGGAGTCTGTGGTCCCCCTGGTCTTCTTGCTCAGTGACCTGCGGAGAGGGAATGGTCACTCGTATTCGCCACTGCAATGCTCCAATGCCACAGCTGGGGGGCAAGAACTGTGAGGGAAGTGGGAGAGAGACTCAGCGCTGTGAGGCAGAGCCCTGTCCCAGTGAGTATACTTCCTCAGATCAACCATTTCTCTTAATTCAGTAGTTCAGTTAGATTCTAAAGAATGTGATAGAGGGAAGAAAGTATTAGACGTTATTTGAAATAAGTCTCCTAGCTGACAGATCAGCAACCTAATAAGAAGGATAAGGCTGATTGAACATCCATTGTTTTCACAAGGAATGAGCTAGGGAGCTGCCCCAAGAGTGTAGATACGGTGACAGGAAGAGCACAAGGAGAAATGTGCAAAATGGAAGTTCAGAAGGTGAGAAATACATATGTGGGAGAGTGGAAGTAGGCGAGATTAGGATCTAACCTTCCCCTCTTTTTTTTATCTTTTATAAGCTTCATTTAATGTTCTTTATATTTTGCTTGTTTTCACCTCTGACATCAGCAACTTTCTGGAGGCATTCAGGTAACAGATGTTGATCAATAAAAACTCCAAATTCACACTGATCTAATTGAAAGATTATTTGAAAGTGTTACAATGTTTACTTATTTTCTTGAATATACTAATGCCCTAAGTAGGGTGACATTTTATTATACCTTGTGTCATAGAGGGTGGCATGGTGGTTAGCCCTTCTGAATCAAAGCTTTAGGGTCCTAGGTTTGATTCTAGCCCAGATTCTGTTTGTGTGAAGTACATTTGCACCATGTTTTTGCAGGTGTTTATTGCTCTGCTTTCCCACCACCCAAAGATTATTGGCTATTCTAAATTGTTCCTTGCCCTATGACTCTGCAATTGCCTTGCATCCTGTGCACAAGGAATAACAAAATTCAATAACAACATAAAAAGGAATCCAGTTTCATGGCTACAGACTTCATTGTGACCCTAGACACTTTTAATTCTCCGAGATTAGATTAGTTTACCCCATAGATAGTCTTCCAGCGGATGTGCGATTTGCAACATTTTGACTTGTGTATTTACCAAAACATCTCTTTGCAGTTGATGGTGGCTGGGGTCCTTGGTCTCCCTGGGCAACCTGCTCGGCAACATGTGGGAAGGGTCTGCGGGGGCGTACACGAGTCTGCAACAGCCCCCAGCCCCAGTATGGTGGGAAGAAGTGCATGGGAGATCCCAACGGCAATGAGAGCTGCAATGACCATGCCTGTCCTATTGGTATGCACCATGCTTTACCTGTGGCCCTGTCTGTTTGCTTAACTTACAGTACATGTGGTCTTTCACCCTGCCTCCCTGTAAAGTCATGAGTGTTTTCTAGCAATGCGATATGAAAGACTATTCAGTGCCAGCTGAAATTGCCCACGCTATGCGACTACTGTATCAAAGCTTGAAGAGGGCTGTAAAAACAGAGTTTAAACGTTTTCCAGACTTGGATGCTTCCTGGACTGATAACAGGAAAGCTATGGCTAAAGTAAAGGCTTTGTCTTACACTGCATGTTTCCTTTAAACTAGACAGCAGGAAACAGGGTGGCCCTGAATTAAATAAAATGTTACTGTTTTCACAGATTATCAACTATGTTTAAGGTTCTGTTTCCCGTGTATTCATTCAATGTATCTGCTTTGCAGTTGTCCTCATTATTTGCTGAATATTGTGTTTGGGCAGATGGATGCCTCTCTAACCCCTGTTTTGCGGGAGTGGAGTGTAACAGCTCTCCTGATGGCTCCTGGGAGTGCGGGCCCTGTCCTGTGGGTTTCCGTGGCAATGGAACTTTCTGTGAAGATCTTAATGAGGTATGAGAAAAAAAAAAGAGAGGACCTCTGAAGCTGAAACCTGCACTGTTTTATTCTCCTCAGAGAAAACTACTCTCAGAACTACAATCTACCCCAAGAAATACCTTGCATTGTCTGTATGGATGTTTGAAATTTTATGTTTATGTAGTAAACAAAGTGGTAAAAAAAATCCAGCTGCATTGCTTAGTGAATTTGTGTTATCATATGTTAACACTGTCTTCTTTCTGCAGTGTGACCTGGTGTCCGATGTGTGCTTCAAGGTCAATAATGTTCAGCGCTGCATCAACACTGATCCTGGCTTTCACTGCTTGCCCTGTCCACCACGATACAAGGGCACACAGCCCTTTGGAATGGGCATAGAGGCTGCCAAGAAGAACAAGCAGGTTTGTGATACTGTGCAGGTTCACTCACTTACCTATGAGGAGCTCAGTACTGAGACAGCACAAAACCTTCAACATATGGGTTAGAACCCACAACAACTGTATCACATAAAAAATGAAAGTCTATCATGTTAAGTTCTGTATACAGTTATTAATTAAGACTTTGGCTCTAGTTTAAAAGCATATTTTAAAAATAAGACCTTTCTCCCAAACTGTGCTGGCATGATAATATAGCGTTTTACTTATCTTGGAGACATTTACACATGATAATTAATGGCCTTTATGTTACAAGAGAAAAACAAAACAAGGATTTACATACATCTGAGGAGCTGTTCTCTTTAGCTGCACATTCTGTGAGGTATTGAATTCTCTCCCTGATTTAGTGTTGCACATTCCTAACCTCTGGAGAGATCATTTAGCATAGCCCCTGGGCCGCCAGTTCTTTGCCCAAACACCATCAATTAAAACCCCTGTGGTAAAGAATCTCTTCTTTTGTTAGCTGTAACAGAAACTGTCTACCATCTCTTATCCCGTCACAGTCTTGGAATTCTTTTGGGGGCTGAATTATAGTATATCTTATTATCTCTGTTCTTATGCTATTCAGTAAAGTATGGATGTGCTGTGTGCAAACTTGTGAAGTGGAAAATAAACTTAACAGACTAGATATTTCCCCCTTACTGCCACAATGCAATTAAAATCAATTTTTCTTTGCCATAGAAGAATGTACAAAGTGAAACCTGGCCAGGGATTTCCTGAACAGTTAATGTCCTTCTGGAAACATTACATTTTCTATTTGGTAACATGATGACATATCAAGTCATATTCTATTTTTCTCATTTGTACCCGTGTCTAGCTTGCTAAAACAGAATGCACTTTGGGGTTTTCATGAATTAAAAGGTTAATGCAGGACCAGAACCCTGAATTAACTTGTTCTATAGCTTCCAAAGCCCTCCATACACTGTTGGATTCAGCTGGGCTGTAGCCAAAGAACAACAATTCCTGTTCTCAATGTCACTCACCGAAGATGGGGTGTATCTTTTTCTCCACAATTCTAGCTCCCTGCAATTAGATAATGAATTCATCATTTATATTTTTTCAGTAAACATATGCTGAGAATTTAGAGTGAACCGATTGGGATGTAAACTGGGATCAGAAATCTACAAGAGAGAAAACCTCCTGTGTCTTATTTGCAAATGCAAGGAAGCCAATGTGGCACATTAATAATTAATTAATAATTCTCAGAAGACTGCAGTGATAACCTGGTGCAGCAGTGTGGATTGTAGATAAGATTCAACAGGATTTGAGCACAGGTCCTCTTTAAATGTTCAAAGTGAGTAATGCAGTGTGATGGTGCTCAATGGTTGTTTAGCAAGTCCCTCTGTCCTCACAGGTGTGTGAACCTGAGAATCCCTGCAAGGACAAGACCCACAGCTGCCACAAGTATGCGGAGTGCATCTACCTGAGCCATTTCAGTGACCCCATGTACAAATGTGAGTGTAAGATTGGGTATGCTGGAGATGGCATCATTTGTGGAGAGGACTCAGACCTTGATGGTTGGCCCAACCAGAATCTGGTGTGTGGGGCAAATGCTACCTATCACTGCAATAAGGTAAGGACCTACAAAAGGAGCATTTGTATAACTTCAGTCTCTGATGGTCATACCAACTGGAACATTCCTATGAAAAAGGCAGACAGATGGAAGGCCAGAGCCACAAAATAGACAGATTCCTTTTAAACATCTGGAATGGTAACTAGGTTGCGACAACATCTTAAGCTTAGTAGATATACTGTATACAGACTATTATGTGAGAAGATAAGATTAATGTTATTTCAAATTGTTGCTTCACAGCAACTTTCCCGGATTGTCAGAGAAGACAGTGTAATTATTACCCCTGCAAACAGCTGCAGTTTCCCATCCTGTGGCTTTCATTGTATCCAGGCTGTACATTGCTTATCCCACTCATGGAGTGTGTCTGTGTGGTTTAGCGTTATTAATGCAGGTGGTACCGGTGACCTGGGAAGAACATAGGTCAGTGGATTATTTTGCACCCTGGGGCTTGACACTGCTGCCTCTGTCAGAGCAGATCAGTGGAGATGTCAGGTGTAACAAACTGGGGGAAATTAAGGCTCAGCGGTGGATGACTGAATCTTGCCGTGCCATTTAAATTAGAACAAAGCAGTATGAGAGTCTGATTGCAGAAATCTGGGTTAGATTTTGACTAGAAATGTAGTTTTTTTAACATTGGCCTTGTTTTGATCCTTGTAAAGTGTGGTTCTCATTGCACAAAAGCAGCATGCAAATCTCATTGCACAAGTGTAGTTTCATTCATTCATTGTAGTTTTGAAATAATTTGCATCGCTATTGTGTGTTCTCTGAATGAAGACTTCAAACAGCAATTGCATTAAGTAGTGGAAAGTAGACCGTTATATAAAAAAATAAATATTTTAGAAATATAAATTGTCATTTGCTAAGAACACCAATGATATCTTGGTAGAGTGGTTATTATGTAATAGCATCTGCCCTGAGTTACAAGTTTCAATTAATTATTTTTTAACATAGAGATTAGTGTTGTTAAATAGCTTGCTTAGTTAATGGAAGAGTGGAAATGGAGTTACTGTATCAATGGAATTAAAGATGTATTTCATTGTAATGCATTTATTCTAGAAATTACCTGATGGATAATAAGGGAATTCTGCAATATTAACAAGAAAAATATAGGACAACTGAAAAGACTCAGTACTTCTGCTTAAAATGCATCATACCAGAAAGGACAGTGCATCAAACTTAGTATGACTATAACAGCAAATGTTGTCTGTGGAATGCTTTTTGAAACATTTGCCTGAGAAAGACTTTTTAATCCTGCAGGATAACTGCCCTAACCTGCCTAACTCTGGACAAGAAGACTTTGACAAGGATGGTCAGGGAGATGCCTGTGACAAGGATGATGACAATGATAGCATTGTGGATGAAAGGGTAAGACAATTTGCCAGCTCATATAAGAGTGCTACAGTTTGGGGAGAGCTTGCTATAAACAGGTAGGTCTAGGTTATCACACGCCCAGAAATCCGGACAAAGCAAGACAGGACTGCTGTCATGCAACAACAACTATCAAGTAATAGCTCTAAGAAAGTGTCTGTATTACTCATACTCCTTCTGTCTTCTTTCTTCAGTATAAAGCATTATAAAATCAACACGGAATTAACTGTACACAGCACACTTCCATAGCTAAAATGGACTGATTTGATAGGGCTTTTTTATGTGGAACTTAATATTTTCTTATAGTACATTCAATCCAGATTTATTTATGACTAAGTCTTTAAAAAACAAGATTACTTGATTCTTGGAAATGCCAAGTTAATCACTGAGAACATTCCAGTTTGGCTCACAAAATATAAGTTTTGTGTATCTTTTTTGTGTCTTTTCTAGGACAACTGCCCTCTCTTATACAACCCTCGGCAGTTTGATTATGACAAGGATGATGTGGGTGACCGCTGTGACAACTGCCCTTATGAACATAACCCAGCGCAGATTGACACTGACAATAATGGAGAAGGAGATGCTTGTGCTATTGATATAGATGGAGATGGTGTGTGCATCTCTGAACACTGTGACTTTTTTTATATACTTTGCCTTAACATAATGTGTGCTGAGCTTTGTTATAGTACTACTCAAATGCAATGGCGAAGTTTTCACTTCAAGCTGATAATCTTAATTCTATAGAAGGAAAAGCACAAACCAACTGAACCAAAATAAACACTCAATTTACTATAGCTATTAAAATTAAATTAATATTTTGACTGCTTGAAACCTTTTTTATTTCCCACAAGTAGTATAAATGTGTATATACAGTATGTGAATCTCACAAAATGTTTTCCTCCCATAGAGATTCTAAATGAGCATGACAACTGTCCATATGTGTACAACACTGACCAGAAGGACACAGACCTGGACAAAGTGGGTGACCAGTGTGACAATTGCCCCCTAGTGCACAATCCTGACCAGGTGTGTGAGACTCTTCCTTCACTGTCAGACTGTTAACCAACCGTGGTACAAAAGCATTGCCTATCCTCTTTCTGAAGTCTGCTGAAGTTCACCTTCAGGATAAATCAACTGCATTTAGTCTAAATGTATTGTTTTATTTTCAGTGACCATTAAATTAATAACATGAGAACAAAATACCTTGTGAACAAGTCACAGATTCCTGTGTTTTGTGCAGTATTAAATATTATATTAGAGCAGGGACACATACAGTAGAACTATGACAGGTACTGAAATGATGATAATGATGTTAAATTAAACATGCAGTACAACCTGTACAGTGTTGTGGATGGGATAGGATACAGAGATGCATGGGTTTTTCAATAAGTTTTAAATATTTTAAAAGCAAGAGAGAAAACCTAATGCATACTAGAATTTTCTTATTCATCTTGCAATCTGAAAATGTATAGTCTGCAGATGTATTCATATACCAGTTAAATTAAATGCCTCATGTCTCCCCCTGCAGGCAGACACAGATAATGATCTTGTCGGAGATAAGTGTGACAACAACCAGGACATAGATGAGGATGGCCATCAGAACAACCTGGATAACTGCCCCTACATTGCCAATGCCAACCAAGCTGACCATGACAAAGACGGAAAAGGTGACGCCTGTGACCACGATGATGATAACGATGGTGTGCCAGATGATCGCGACAACTGCCGACTCGTGCCCAATCGTGACCAGCTGGACTCTGACGGTGAGGCAGTCGCACCTGGTCTCTGATCAGCACCACTTAATGAGCTAGGATCACTGATAAAAGCTCCTAGCAACACAAATACATGGTGTACCTAAGCTGCAGCACAGCTAGAAACTACTCAGTGAGAAGAGGGAGCAATTAATCTGTTTTTGTAAATTGTACAAATGGGTGCTCATATATGTGTCTCACAAATTTTCTTGAATAGTTTTATGCTAAAAGTTTATTTTAGATATTGGAACAATATCATCTATTTACTTTTTACCAAGATTGGAAAAACAAAATTTTGTTAAAAATTCCCTAAAGTTGTCTTTTCTAAACATGAAATAGTTTGTATTTCAACATATCCATTAACATAGCACGATACAGTAACAAAGCATATGTTTTTTATTGGAGAAAGTAGTGACCTTATTACACTTTATTAAATCAAAAGAACATGTTTTATTTCATTTTCCATGGTTCCTCTTTCATACAATATATATACAGTACCATATGTATATACTGTACATACAACATTTTCCTCTCCTTATTTCCAAAATATTGACACATGGACAGTCTATACTAGTCTGTCAGCAAGGAATGAGTAGCCAGTAGCTAAGTGGGTGATTTGTGAATGCTGTCATAACTCTATCTGATGCAATGATAAACTATTTATCAATAGAGAATGGATAATCGTGGAATGTTCCCCATGGGCTTCTCACACCTGCAGCTTGCAAGACAAAGAAGTTTAATGTGTTAATTGTACTCTGCTTTAAAAAATTAACCAACTTCTTGGGTTAACATTGCTTTTAGTCCTTTCTTTAATGTTTAATATGCTTAAAAAATCAGATTTAAAAAGCATACTTCCACTTAATTTTTCTGGCCACTTTACCACCTCCAACATGGCAGAATGAAGCAAAGCAAAAATACTAAAAACTACTCTAATCTTTTGTGAGATGGCGGTGTTTAATCGCTGCCATATGTCACCCAGCTGGGTGCTGCACTTTAGTGGTGAATCTAGTGTGGTCACCCTGTATGTAAAGCACTCTGGTATCATTTTGGTATGAAATTGCTTTATAATGAAACTTCATGTATAAAGAATTGAGCAAAGCTAATTTGTAAGACGTTTCCATCATTTATCAAGTCTTAGGCTGAAGCACCTTTAGTTTTGATGAAATGAGCCTCATAAATTTTACTGAAAATGTCTTGAAGTTGTAATGGCCAGCAATTATAAGATGCAGAATTCCACGAATACATGCTTTTAAGCAGGCATTGTGTGATCTGTGACTGTCCTGATGCAGGGGATGGCCGAGGAGATGCTTGCAAGGATGATTTTGACAACGACAATATTCCTGACATATTTGATGTTTGTCCTGAAAACTTCGACATCAGCGTGACAGATTTCAGGAAGTTCCAGATGGTTCACCTGGATCCCAAAGGCACCACACAGATTGATCCAAACTGGGTGGTTCGGCATCAAGGAAAAGAACTTGTACAAACAGCTAACTCTGACCCAGGCATTGCAGTTGGTGAGCATAAGTGTTCATGTACTGTATATGTATGTAGTTACAGAGAGCTCTGTTCTAAAGGTTTTCTATGGAAATGCCTTGCAAGCCTGATCTTACAATTTACAATTTGACAGATTCAAATGAAACAGTCCAAGACAGATTGAGGAATTGCAACTGCTTGACAAAGTAACATGGATTTTACTCATATCAAGGAATATACTGCAAGGAATGCAGTAGTTATACACTGAGCTAGACAACATGTTATGTTTTGTGCCCTTCATGTATTAAATGAACAAACTCTATACTGCCTAATGAGAAAGCAATATTTTCTTAAAAGACCCATGTCTGTAATGTTCAAAGTTTATCTAAAATTCACAATGACATTGGTATACACATTTTTGTAAATTGTAATGCCTTTTCTATAAAGGTATGTTTTCCTAGGATACAGGCCAAAGCATGGGACTGATGTTTTGTGTTTTCCTGGCTAGGTTATGATGAGTTCAATGCTGTTGACTTCAGTGGCACCTTCTATGTAAATACGGACCGTGACGATGACTATGCAGGCTTCGTATTTGGCTACCAGTCCAGCGGTCGCTTCTATGTGGTGATGTGGAAGCAAATCACACAGACCTACTGGGAGGAGAAGCCATCCATGGCATATGGCATCTCAGGTGTCTCTCTAAAAGTAGTAAACTCCACCACAGGTACTGGAGAGAACCTGCGCAATGCTTTGTGGCACACAGGCAACACCCCAGGACAGGTGGGTATCCCCAGGCTCTGGCCAGCAGGCTGGTGCTCACAGGGCACTGCCATTTTGTCATTGTGCAGCACTCAAATAGCAGTATGTTGCCTGTATTTTATTATTCGTGGCACTGTGATATATCAGTTGGCAGCATCTCTTAGAAATGCAAAAATGTAGACAGTGTGTCTGCTTTTCAGCAGTTTTCATTCCTTGCTGAAGTTTTCAACAGGAAGATTCCATTTAATTCACAGAGCAGACATTATTAATGTCCTGTATTAATAGAGAGCACTCTGACCTACATAATTACTAGACTAACATTAGCTAACATTTTTGCATTTCTTCCATACTGTTATTATAGCTACAAGATTGGAAAATGTTTTCCTTGAATGGTCAAGTCTATTGAGCTAAAGGATAATTACAAGAGAAGACCATAAAAATGAAATAAATCTCTATTACCAGAAAGGAGCTATACAACTAGATAGAATAGAAAGGAGATGTACAGTATGACTAGTCTGTCCTGCGTTTTTTAATAAACAAGATGTAAAAGTTATTCCTGGTCAAATTGAACAAGAATAACTTCTGTATCCTGTTTCAGATTCAAAGTATGGCAATAAAGCCATCTTAATTTGAGTTCAGATTATTGCTCCAGAGAGTTTTGAATCTTTAAAATGGATCCAATATAAACAAGAGACCTTGTAATAAATATTCTCCATGATTTAATACCTTACTTGTCTGGAAGTATACTAGAAGAAGTTGTCAAAATGAATGAAGGAGATTTTATACTTTCAGCACTTCTTAATGACTTAACCAGACTCTGGAATAAGGTTTCTTTTCCCGGGATTATTATTCAGGTTCGTACTTTGTGGCACGATCCAAAGAACATTGGGTGGAAGGATTACACTGCTTACAGATGGCACCTGATCCACCGGCCTAAAACTGGTTTCATCAGGTATGGATGAATCAGGACTAATACTGATCTACCTTAAAGTGATAGCAATACATTTCAGTGGCACAGTCTAAAGAATCTTTCTATGATTTCAGAATTTAAGTGTTTTTGTTTTCTGTATTTTGACTTAAAAACATTTTGACATCTGAAACCTTATGCAAAAACTGTCATTTATGACATTTATTACTTCTTGTATCATAATATCCAGGTAAAAACTGCGCAAAATGAAGTTCAGCATCATATGTTCCCCACATGTTCAAACTTTGAAACGCTTAACTTTAGCTAAAATTTAAAGTTCAAAGTAAATTGTTAAAAAGATTTACTCCTTACTGTTGTGTGTATACTGTATATGGACTAAACATAAAAACTAAAAAAACAGGAAAACATCAACTGCAGATCAAAAACATTTGGAAAATAATTAACAAAAGATTTACAACTTTCCCAATTTATGAGATCAGTCACTACTTTTGACTTCTCTGCTGTTATTACATACCACCTATGAAGTTCTACAAATTTCTTAAATGAAATGAATCTGCTAAAGATTCTCAAACTTGAAGACCATATCTGATCCTGTCAAATTGTTCTCAGCAGTTCCATTTTTCAAATTAGCATGTGCAATGTAAATGGATGATGAATAACTGTCTAGAAAAGCTGTCTGGAAAACATTTTCTACTGTTTCAACAGTATTGTATGTTGGATATATGGAATTCTAATAAACACATGGTAATGTACAGTAGCTGTATCCTGTATGTTTAAAGTAGTACAATATACACTATGTAATCTAGATTTTCTGTCATTATAGCCAATGCTCAGTAAATTCTTATGCTTTGTTTTATGTTTAATAACCTCAAACACACTTCTTAATAGAGTAGAACTGTTTTGGGATGGATAATGTAGGGTACATTCTTCCTGTAAGACTCTGTTCTGTTTTACAGGGTTGTGGTGTATGAAGGCAAGCAAATTATGGCTGATTCAGGGCCTATATATGACAAGACATTTGCTGGAGGAAGATTAGGGCTGTTTGTCTTCTCTCAAGAGCTTGTTTTCTTCTCCGATCTCAAATACGAGTGCAGAGGTAAGTGCTGATGACTTTTTTTTATTCTGTACCATTGGGCAGCCCTCACATGTTTTATTTGGCTAGCTCAGACATAACTGCATTGAAAACCTAAAAGACTGGGTTCCCAAGTGGCTCAGACAGTGAAAGCCCTTGCTCAGAGCTCTGTGGCCCACATGGGTTTCCATCTTGAGCCTGGGTCATTTCATTAATATGATGATCCCCAACCAGCAGTTACCTTCCTGTAAAGCACTATGGAGTTTGCTGGAAGTCAAAGGACTGATGGTTAAATGGCTGAGATGGAGGAGTGGATGAATGTCTCCCTGTTCTGTACAAGAGTCTAACCATACAGTGAACTGAGACATAAAGAAACAATTAACAATTCCAAGCTGGCTGCGTAATGGGCTGCCAGATAAAGACGCACACCCCTGCTGTAAATCACAGTAGAATTTTGCTCTGTGTCCCTGGGTTGCTTGAGAAGTGAAAAGATTTTGGAGAATTCCTGGCACAGAGACTGGTGCATAGAGACTTACTGCCAGCAACTGTCCTGAAAGGAATAGCTCTGCAATGGCTCATTCTCAATGGGATCATGAGAAATCCCCTGCTCATTTATATCAGCCTCTAGTGACTAATAAATCTAACTGCTTTTTAGCAGAATAATTCAAAGTTAAAAAGTTGATGTTTAGATAAGGAAGGACGTTCAGTGAAACTTATAAAATGTCGGTCTTTTAGTATAAGCAAGACAAAAAATGTCTCGGAAAAGTAAATAAGATAATATCTCAATGGTAATGTTTCATGGAAATATTTGGTTTCCAAATACAGTATTATATTAAAATGTTATTTTATCATTTAGAGATTCCCACAGTATTCAGAAGGTAATGGTGATGTCAGTTTGGTTTTGGCTGTCTTTTTACATATAGATCTACACACTTTATCTGCCTAGCACAATTTCAGATTCAAGCACCATCTTTCAGATTGTGCCTTTATTGTGATCAGAGCAGACTTTAAATGATTCTAAAGAGCATGTATTGACACATATACTGTTTAGGTACGGGTTTGTATTTGTTTATAGATACTGTCCATAATAAATGTAAACCCGCGCTTTTCTATCCATGCAAAATGAAGTCCTGGCTATCCTGTGAAATCACACCCCCTGTCTTTCATTTCCTGTTCTGCCAGCCTCTTTCTTATTTGGATACGAATTTAAAACACACTCACCCTGGAGTCTCACTCTGTCTTTCTCTTTTGCAGATAATTGAGCTATGGTTACTGTGGAAACGGTGAAGTACTGTACAGACATCGTCACCAGCTCACCTCAGTCTGTCCCTGGTCATCCTTTCCCCTACCTGCCTGGCCAATGAGATGGAGGGCCTGCCTCTCCATATTGCTCAGGGCCTATTACTGCTCAGCTTTCCCTCCCAATCACAGGGAGCCCTTATCCACCCTGAGCTCCACCCCTGCCCTGAAGAGAGCAAGGACATTTGTACCATTTGTACGTGCCTTCAGTAAATCATATAATACACTGCATATACAATACTAAGGTGTTTTTTCAATTGCTTGCCATATATATGCCTAGAAGATACCAAGTATCTTCATTGTTCATGTTAAAGGGATCATTGAAGTTCTACAACCACTTTTTTATGTATGCATTTCTTTAATGGTATATTATAATTGTTTTGATTTACTGAACATTTGCCTTTACTGGCAGTTTCTACATCAACTTGATTTGCTACAGATATGAGCATGTGTTCAGACCAGATGTCATGGTTTGCTGCATCAGATTTCACCCAGTTATGTAGATGCTTTAAAGATGCACACATCATAAGAAGCTTTAAGTGCTCACTTGTATCTGCCAAGCAGTAAAGAGGTGATTTTTCCAAGTTTTTTTGTTTTGACTGTATTGTATTTCATTACCATATCACATTGTTCAAACTTTCTTGCACATATAGCCTATTTTTACTGATCTTATTTCCTGCCATCTTGAATATTGTTTAGTTAATCCCTATATTTTAACAGGGAGGATTTTCATTTGCAATAGAAGTGAACCTTTGTAAGTTTAAAATGTCTGGGGGGATGAAGATGTTAATATTTAGACTGTATTATAATTTCTTCTGTAAATTATTTATGTTGTCTTGCCTTTTTCGTTTGTGAGGCGTAGTCATTTTTTTTTGTTTTTGCCAAAGATTGTAAATAATTATTTATTTGTTTACACTGACGACATTTCACAATTGAAGGACATAAAACACTTTACTCCAAGTCCTTAATATCTCTACCAAGATTAAATACCTTTTCCATTAGGCCTCTTTGATTTAAGAACTCTTTGTATACAATGTAATACAGTTTGGTAATTTGGTATTGTAATAAGGTTTGGTTAAAAAGTCACAAGGCATTCTGAAAGGTCTGAGAAACATGATCTCTGAAAATGTAGATCAATTATAAAAAGCTGCAAGGGATTATTTTCTCGCTGTTGATGAGCCAGAACCATTTTGGAGAAAAAAACTCTGAAAATCTGGACCATGAGAGAAGCCAGGGTAATCTGTCAACTTATAAGGCATTTAAGAAGAAGAAGAAATCACACACACGCTTATTATTTATGTTGAAAGTATCTCTTTGGGTTGTATTTCAATGATTAGTTTTCCAGTTACTTATGCTTGATATGTGGTAGGTAGGTTTCTGGGTGGAATAGGGTGAAAATAATGATGAACTGTCATCAAGGCTAAGTTGAAAGGGTGGAGAGTGGTATTTGATCTCTTTAAAACTTTTTGCAAAGATAGTAGGAAGCTGTTTTTAACTGATATAATGAAACCACAAGCGACAATGGGAAAAAGTCCCTTGCAAATTCTGTTCTTCTTTACATTCCTAATGTTTTGGAGCATCCAGAAACAGGAGGATTTAAATGAATCATGACATTAGCAATGTATAGGTCATAGTTTTTTTGTATAGCATTATTGTTTTTTACATGTTAAATAATCAGTATATTATATTTACTGTTGTGTGATAATCGTGATGCACAAATGTAAATTTTTCAGGTATCCACTTTTCTTAAGATTTACATTTTTTTTAAAAGCAAATAAACATTTGTATTTGTTCACCATTAAGAGATTATCTTGTTTGACAAATAAATATTTTATATTTTACTAACTTGTTTTTAATTTTTAAAGGCTCTAATAATAAATTATTTAGAAAACACTGTAAAATTCAACAATATTAAGGTGCACATTTCTTCAAAAAATATTCACTCATCCATGCAATAGTTTATAATTTTAAATTTTATTGTATTTCTTCATATACACATGTGCAAAGACCTTAATGAGACAGATTTAATGAGCATCAGCAGTTTACTTGCATTTAGCCAAAGCCTTTGCTACAGTATGTTTCTAATCATTTCTGCTGTTACAGTATTGATACAGTTTGAGAAGAAACCAACTTGTCATGTAGCATTTCTATTTAACATCTATTTATCAAATCTGATATGCGTAAATATTACTTTTTCACTTCAAAATACAGATCAAGACTGACCATTGTCTTAAAACAAAATAGCTACCATTTCAGTAGACGTTTGCTATAAACTTTTGCTTCTGCATAAAGGAGGAAAAACACTGAATAACAAGAGAAGTACAATGTAAAATGTCTAAAGCTTTTGCACAGTTTTTTTTTTCATGTTGATGTTTAGGATTTAGAAGAGAAGGCATTTTCTGTTTTGTGGAATTGATTAAACTTTTTTAAAAGTAAGTAATATCTTATAAAGCACTTTAAAAATGACTCTTGTTCCACAAAGGTCCAGATACTCCTGTTGGAATTCTGTGTAAGTCTCCAACCTGGAATGTACAGTACCTCCTTTCTCATTCACTCCAATAAAAAGGAAAATAAATAGTAAGTACTGTCACCACCTAAGGTAACTTAATGCTCAATATAAAGATGTATTATATTTTTCAATAGTAATCTGTAGCACAGTAATGCTACTGTACTTCCTTAATTATTTACAATTACAGTAGTTCAATTCATTTCTTGGTTCAATTCAATCATTACCATTGCTTATTCTTGCTTGATTCTAGACCAATAATAAAGACAAAACCAGGTTTTCAATGTCACATATGTCCATGCAAAAATGACTGAATTGGACTGATGGCTCATTGATTTGGCCAGAGTTTGAATCTGACCTCGCTGAACAGCATCTCATGCTCTGATGAGTCCTGCTCAAAAGCTTTGCAGAGTAAAAACAGAAGCCTTAATGATGATGACCTAGGGACACTCAAGGGGATTTAACTCTTGATTAGTCAAAAAAAGCACATTAGCCCATTGAATATTATTCTAAAGTCTAATGAATCTGCTTGTTAGCCTACTGAAGCTGATGCTGGACGTCTTGGAATTCTATCATATATACTAAAGTTGTTTGATCAAGTGTTAATTAATGTGACAACCTGACCAAGTTTATAGAGAAGTTGAGGATAAATTTGGCATAACTCGTCTGGCTTACACAATAGTATCCTGACTCTTAAGGTAAGCCTGACAGGACTCCCACATGCTTTTCTGGGACTGAGCTAGGGAGCTGCTTCAAGGGTGAGATGGAATTGGTTGGAGAGGTGCAAGAAAGATGCACAAATGGAGGTGGGTTTAGATGTAGGAGAAAGGAATTGGACAGGTTTAAACTTTTACCTTCTCCCAAACTTCTGTTAAACAAAACAGCTACTAACAACCAAACAAGCTAGATGGTCTCAAGAAGCCTCCTATTGTTTGTAAGCTTTCTGTGTAGTATAAGGACAGTGCTTAAAGGAGTGTTAGTTCTGAAAGTTATTTAAATTATTTCCTTTTTTGGTAAGAAACCTAAAATTTAAAATTTAAATTTAATTTAAAATAAAGTACACCTAAAATGTCTGTTTTTTCATCTATGTAAGGGTAGTATTTGTGCATAACCAGAAATTAAAACAAAGATTTTGGGGGTGGTTTAAAAAAATGTTAAATTTGTAAATATATCTTTATTTTCTTTATATAGTATGCCAATCCTTTATGGTACATGAAACAGAAAAAAAAGAGCTTTAGATAGTGTGTTCGACTCAACCTAGTCTTTTCTGGAAATTGTGAAAATTTTCACAGATTTTTCCAAAATGACATATAATTTCTACAGTTGCTTTATGCTTCTGATTACTCTCTGTTTTCCACCTTGTGTTTTGGCTTTAAACATGCTCCTAAGGTGGATAATCCACTGATTGAAAAAGTTTGGGAAAAACAACAATAACTCTTGATTATTTATTAGGCTGGCATGTCCAACACAGACAAACAGACTGAAGATTGATAGATGGATGATGTTTCTTAGTTTACACCTCTGCTTCTCCGAAGTGTTCCTTTCCATACTCTTCTGTTATCTAGGTATCCCAGCTACACTAATAGAACTTCAGACAAGATTGATAGACTCATTCATATTGCCCCTGTACTGTGGCTGTAAGTTACTAGTTTTCCAAAAGTGGAAGTTCTTTATGCGAAATGACAGGCATACAAATTATGTAAATTATAGATATTATTTTACAAATTACAAATGTTATTTTATTGTTTATTATCTGTGATTTAGAAATTCTTCAAAATTAGCATTGCCGATGTTCATACTGTAAAATGCACTTCCATATACAGTTAGTGTTCTGTTGGGTTCTAAAGGAGGTTCTGTTTGTGTAGAATCAAACTTTTATTTTCAGTGAAAATACGTCTCGCGTGTCTGAATACCAGAGACAGGGCATTAAATCCCAAATTCATAAACTGTTACTTTCTGTAATTCATGGAAAAATCACCCAGCTTCTCTAACACTGTGGGCATACGCTGTATATAAAAGATAACATTTACCTTGTATATGATTTTAAGATTACTATTTATATAAAATATATGTACGTTTCTAAGCAAGTGTATGAACTGTGAATATGTACATTATGTTCATTCAATATTTTGGGTATCCAAAAGTACTCTGTTTTTGTTGCTGGAAAACATTGAATGCACATCTACTTCATTAGAAATAAGAAGGTTCTGTTTTCATTCAATGAGTCTTTACTATTCATGGCCCAAGTAAAGCTACTTTTCATTTAAGTCTAATTAGGAGGAATTTTATTCAGCATGCGAATGTCTTGGAGTAATTAGATGAATATCACTATTTATTTCATAAAGTTTATCTTATGAACATTCTTGTTGGGTTTTATATAATTCACTTGTCAAAATGCCCAACACAGTGCTATCGTTTCAAGTTCATGAAAGAAAATATGAAGCTTTGAAGTGGCTGTGAAGGAAACTTGTTACTAAGACTTTCTTAATGATCTATGCTCCTCTAAAAAGACACAGTTCAGATGGAATTACTTATAATGCAAAGTGGCAGTTAATACACTTCAAATAGAACACCCTCACATGGGTTTTCACTGGGTGTTCCAAAATCTTCCCAACTTACCGATACAAGCTGTGTCTCTCAGCTGTCCCTGCGTTTTAATGTTTCCAATATAGGCTCTGGGATGCCATGACCATAATTCACCAGGAATAAGCAGCTTTCTGTATGTAGTTGTATGGAATTGTTGACTATTAAACTCAGCACTGTGAATGGTTAAATGTAGTGTATTCATTTCCTGCAAAACAAAAGGATCAAAACGTATCTTCAGACTATGTATTCTGGGATCTTTTGGAATAAACATTATAGTTTGACAATTTCGTAATCATGCCCACAATTTGTGGTCAACACCAAAACTCAATTGTTTCAACAAGTTTTGAACATGATAATAAATTTGGTTACCAGTTATAAAAACCAAGTCACCTCATCCAATAATTGTTGTTGATGAAGATATTTACAGTTCAGCCCTCTTCTTATTACCTGTGCTCTTCACTTGTAGTGGGTACTGACCATTTGAAAGCTACAACACAGAAAGAGAAGAAATTACATCTATATATCTTTGGCTTTGGTCCCAGAATGCGTTGTGTCAAATGTGGCCCTACCGAAAGTACAGATCAGCTGAGTTGAGGCAGAAGGTCCATGACACAGGGTTTCAAGATGGTTTCTTCATTGAAAATATGGTTTGGCTGTTATCTGGTAAGTGATCTTCACCAATTTCTAAAGTGTAAAACATTATTTAGTGCACAGTTCTTAATATTTGCAATCTTTGCATTTTATATTTTTAAACTGCAGCATGCCTAATTTAGCCATTCTGCAGTCATGTGGTTTTAAGCTTTCTAATGGCAAGGATGGCAAGAATCTGCTTATTCTGAGAAAACTTTCCTATAACATAACCTTGTCATTCTCATTGTTCTTTATTGCATTAATTTTTGTTTCTTCAGTGATATCAAACTGATATGATGTAATGCCAATAACCAGAATTAGTAGTAGGATAACAAAAAGATCTTAATCTAAACAAAATACCTACTCTTACCTACAAAAGCTTGCTGATGATACCTTCTTTATTTTATTTTATATTATTAAATTAAAAAATAAAAAAGTATTTTCCTGTGTATTTGTGTTGCTGATCTCATGGCAGACGAACAGTTCTGGTTAGTGTCCAGATGCATGGCAGACAGAGCTTTGTGTCTCTGTGGTTGTTGACAGACTGAAGTGAGACTCCTATGCAAACAGAAGACAGGAAAGAGCAGAGCTCTGCCATGTGCAACATACTGTACTGTAGCTGGTGTGAAATGCCTGTCTCTCCTGTTGCAGATTCCCTTCTTAGAGTGCTATGCCTTCTATCAGTTGTTTTCAAAGTGCACAGTTCTCACTTTAATCTCCAGCATTGTGGGAAAGGAATAAAAGTTGATTAGTGGGAATACAGAGAACATTTGAAAAGCTGATGCAGTGAGAATGATGCACTTCCTAAAAACAGAGCACATATGCTTTTTTGTGCTCTGCCTGCACTACCATGGTGGGGTAGTACTGTTCTGCATTTGCAAATCCATCTGGCCAATCATATCCTAAGGGACCAGCAGACTGGGGCTTGCTCTTTGAAATAGAATCTTTTCACTTTCCCTCGTTTGTCAGAAGAGACATATGAATCGACATAAAACAATGTAAACTCTTTTACAAGGTGTAATTAAATAACAGTTCAGCAAATAAATGGAATAAAAGCCATTTCAAATACTTAGTTTTGAGCACTTTACCACTGAGTG